TTCTAAGCTTAGTTACCTACAATCTATTCCTACCTCAGTCTTGTCACTTAACTTCATCTGCTAAAAGAAACATTAGGGAGTGGGGAAATAACAGGGGAGGGAGAACAACAACAACATAATTTGCATTTTACAGTTCCTTTACATTAGTCATACCATTTTTTTTCATTTTCCTAAACGCACATGTTTCTGAAAGCAAATTTTATCTTGTCATGCATTTGTTTTGTATAAGTTATTTTTATATTGATATGCACAGTACTTGAAATGGTCAAAGCTTTTCCAACTATGGAGCAGTATCGTCACCATCCTGCTGTCCTGTTGCATAGCAAATAAGCAGAAGAGACATGAAAAATGCTTTGTTACGAATGATTAGCTTGACGCTAATACATATGAACAGTCAAAGTAAGCAATGTGAGTTGTGCTGATTTACAAAAAAAGGAATAAAAAGAAATTGAATTAAGTGTATGAAAAATAGATGTGGCAAAAGGTTGGGAAAAAAACAGGATAGTACAGTGCAAAAGAACATGCTTCCACATTCTGTGTCAGCTTTACAAATCCTGCATCAGTATATTATCCATTCAGACTTCTATGCCACTGGCCAAAAAACTTTTCCCCTTGTGTTTCTTTCTTTTGCATTACATTCATGAGTTCTTGCTAGTTCTCCAAAATTAGTTTTTCTGAAACGTCATAATAGCGAATAGCTGATTTTTGCGAACCAGCTCCTCCATATTCAGTATGATAATTGGCACCAGCCTTTCCCTGTTATCTTCATTCTAGGCCATGCTTGTCTGAATTTGCTACCTGACATTTGAAGGGTATTTGCAGTCTTTTGCGGTAGTTTCAAACTCAGTCACAGAATCTTCCAGGAATCTCCCATTCCATCTGGGAGTCTATTTGGGCAACATTACATTTTTTGAAATGTAATGGGATATACATTCCCTGTTAGCCAGATTGTATCTCATTATTTAGTAAACATATTGCATCTTCTGTGTGATAAGAGCAGCAGTTTTTACAGTGAATAATAGTGTCCTTCTCCTTTTACCCTAACTCCTGTTATCTCCGTGTCTTCCTTCCAATGATAGTTATCTTTGCCTGTTTTTTCATTCTTCAGGGCAATACCTGGTTTCATTGATGGATGTCAAGGACCTTGCTCTGACATAATTTGCTGTTAGACACATTAAGTAAACTTAAGCTGAAAGAAATAGTCGCCACTTTAATTAAGCCCTTAATCAACTATCACTTTGTATCTCTAGTGCTTACTGGAGACAAATGTCACACAATTTTTAGCTGTTCTGTATTAGATTCCAAGCGTTCCAGCTGTGGGGATGTAGGGCAGTTGTTGCCCGTGTGGGTGAGATACTGGCTCGCTGCAGTCAAAATCAAGCACTGTTCCTGACTGGGCTTTCACATTGGTTCTATGCTGCAGAGTAGTTACCTGAATTGTCCATTGTGTGCTTTATAAGAGGGCACTACTATTTCAGTACTCTACTTACCTTTTAGTTAGTCTGAAAATAACTACTATCCAGATAAATTTATCCAGAGAAATAGCACCATATTAAAGGCAACAAAATTCATTACTGCGATCAGAAGAGAGGCTGTTTGATTGGGACCCTTACTGTATGTGTGTTTGTCGTCTTGTAGCAGTTACGGTGGTTTTGGCATTTTTGAGACGCATAGGGAAATAAGCTCCTTTAAGCTAAGGAGCATGTAAAAGGTGAACTAATGCTAATGTTTCAGTGACAGACGGGAAAAAAAGATGGTCCTGTTGTTACAGTTTACAATCTTGAGTATTACGTCAGTAGGGAAAATAAATGAATCATAAGAATTATACTCATGACAGCTTACTCGGTGAAAAATGTGTATGCCAATTTAATTCAGTAAGTGCACTCATTAGCTTCTGGTAATTACGGGGGTAGTATTTCTGTTGCTCATAGTATTATTACCAGAATGTGAAATTCTTCTTCCAGAATTCAGTGTTACTAACTACTTTTACAGAACCCATTATAATAGAGACTTGGACTGATTCTTTGAAACATAGTTCCGAAACACTTTGATAACACTATTTCATACATTTAAAGCAAAATTGTAAAGCAAGCTACAGAGCGTTATTGCAACAATTGAGCATTTAGTGTTTCTTACGCTAGTCTTTCATCTGTGCTTTAAAACGTATAAAGTATGTTTAGGAACACCCATGAAGGAAGCACCCATTTTTCAACATCAGTCCCCAGAAAATCAAAGCTGTAAATTGTTTTCCTTTTCTTTCTTTTCGCCCTTCTTAAAACCACAGAAACACCAACATCTAAGGAATGAGATAATGGTTGTACTACCCAGACTTTTACACTAAACAAAACCTAGAGGTATATGAATGGTAGTAGACTAGGAGACTGCATGTGTGAGAAAGACTGGCGTCTGTGGTGCATGGTGTGCTTCTGACTGGCACTTGTGGCTCCTTCCCGTCATCCATTTTTCTGACTTGCACGGTGTGTTGTGTGTTGTGTTTTTCCAGCATGTGGAATTACTTGTCGCTGTGTGGATAATGAATGGATGCGATGTTTGTTGCACAGAACGGTCAAGGGGACAGTGGAAAAATACCTGTGTTTGTAACTCATGCTATAAGGGTTTTTCTCTATAGCAGGTCCTTCAGTAGCGTTTGTGTGACTCCCCATGTGATAACTCTATTTTAGTGGCTAAAAGTAAGCCTGATGTTGTTCTGTCTCATCTACTCTTTATTTTCACTTCCAGCAACCTGATGTTCCTCTACCACATCAGGCACGATCTTAAATAATAAACCAATAAACCAATACAAAATTTAAACTAGTTCTATACATTTTACAAGAACGCCCTAAACTTTGTGACAAATCTATTGAAGTCTACCTATTGGTTATATACATGACTTAGAAAGAAGCGCAGCGTGTAAGAAACTTCAGGATCAGCTTTTTATTCCTTTTAAGGGATAATAAATAAATAAGGTCAATTTACCTTGAGCTAGGAGAGGACTTCTTGTAACTGGCTTTTGCATCTGTAAGCTTTCTACTGGGGCATTGTAATGCTGTGCAAAGCGACACAGAAAAACAAAAATCCATAAATAAACCTCCTGTACAACAATTATAGCTACTGTCATCTCAGCAAAATTCATCTTCATTTATTTTATCTCATATGAACAAACAGTAAAGACATGTTGGGTTTTTTGCTTGTGTTTAAAAAAAAAAAAAAAGGGGGGGGGCCCTAATTGAAGTTCTGTTCTTTCTTTAATTTAATTTAAGATTCCTTTAATAAATCAAGGATTTTTATTGGTTCTTGCCCACCATTATCTTTTCCTAATCTATTTAGTGCTGCAAAGGGTAAGGAAAAAAGTGTGATACCTAAACTTAGGCTATTATACAGTCTCTTTTTTTGTAATACATTTTGCTGCCTTAAAATGTTTCTTTCAGCAATCTTACTATCAAGGGAAAAGTTCTTTAAGAGATTATTATTAAAGAGATAGAGAAATTCTTAACATAAATAGATGCTAGCTCCACTGATGTGTTAAGAATTGTATCCCAGTACTCCAGAATGAAATTTGATTTTTAATCCAAGAATGTTTGACTTTTAAAAATTATAGTTGAATCAAATAACGAAAATTGTATAGAGTAACCTAAAGAATCCAAACCAACATCTCCAGTCAGGATTGCCTTTATCATTATTGTTGAGTCATAAATAATTTTCTTCAATAACATATATTATTTTTACAAAATATATACATAGCGCCAACTTTACAATATAGATGCTCACGGGTACAGAGTAGTGGTATTTGTACTTGACTTTAATACATATGTACACACATATGTGTGCATGCACACACACGTACATTTCTTAGTGCCTGCTGGTATATACCAACACTAGCATTGTAAAAGAAGACTCTTCCCACAATGAACTCTTTAGATAGCTGTTGCCAGTTTAAATAATAAATAATGTTAGCATAATTTAGTGCTCCACATGGGAAAAAGGGAAATTGTAATTGTGTATCTTGAGAGAGGCCTATATTTATATACATTGTTTGTTACATATGGGGAGAAAAAAGCAAGTGAAACATAACCAAAGGAATTATGGTATGCTTTTGTATCTAATTTTTTTTTCTGACTTTTCAGCTTCCTAGTTAGTTTCATGGTGGATGCTCGTGGGGGTGCTATGAGAGGTTGCAGACACAATGGACTGCGAATCATTATTCCTCCACGGAAATGCACTGCTCCAACGCGAGTGACTTGCCGGTTGGTCAAACGCCACAGACTGGCCACCATGCCTCCCATGGTGGAAGGAGAAGGTCTGGCCAGCCGCCTCATTGAAGTGGGACCTTCTGGTGCGCAGTTTCTTGGGTAAGTGGTGCCATGCAGCCTGAGTGAAAATGCTCAGTATATTTTCATCTGTTTTCAAGTTGCACTGAAGTGGTTCCTCTTTCAAGATCTGAACCGAAAAAAATGTTTGTAGCATATAGTTACAGGCCAGTCACTTGAAATGCAAATAGATTGTTAGTTAACAGTCCACATAGCTTTTATTCCTTTTCCTTTGAAAACTGCTATTATAACTACTAGCACTAAAGTTAACGTGCTTCCTTGGATGTAATTATTACTCAGTGTTGTAGAGTGGAATCAAATCGCTTTGCAGCTAGAAAAGGCAGTTTAGGCTATATTTAAATAATTTACATATAAGACATGAATAGCACAGCACTAATCTAAAGCCCAAATGTAAAGCCTGCTACATATACAACACAAGTTATAGCCGCTTATTTTAGAGACTTGTGTTATCAATAATTTGGACTATCAGGGAAGCACCATGCCTTTAATATTTCTGGGGTGGAAATTGCAAAGTCAAGCAATAGGATAAGCCAGGAATTCCTTGGCAGTTTATTTTGTCCTGTGCTGCAAAACCCATAGAAAGATCAGTTCTGTGTCTAGTGCTAATTGAAGTTCTGTTCAGTTCTGTGTCTAGTGCTAAGCTTATTTTAGCAATTGTCAACTGAAAGCAGCAGTTACCCACATTTTTTTAAGTTGTTTTACCAGCTATTCTCCCTATCAACTGTGGCATCCAAAAGTGGATTGAAGGAACCCCTTCTGTTACAATAAATTGCTTCACTCAGAAATTGAAAAAAGAACGACTCCGTAAAGGGGAATAGTTTAAATCCATTTTGAAACAAACCAGTTACTTTAAAATCCTATCATAACAGGCAGTCATTAGAGCCATGATCTTGGGTAGTGTTTTTTCTAAAGTCTTAAGGAAAGAGAGAAAAGTGGGTTAGTGATTTTTAACTGCCCACTGCTTTTATATAGAGTGTGAAACACATGCTCTGGCTACCTCACTGCTGCTACAGTCTGATAAGAAAACAAGAGCAGTCTAGAACACTGAGAATGTGATGCTAAGAGCAAGCCAACTATTTTCTATGACAGGTAGGATACTTCTTAACATCACCAGTAACAACAAAGAAGCTGCCTAATCAGATATGTTTTTCACATCCTTGTCACTTTTAGAGCAATGCAAGTATAAATCTCAAGAGCAGAAGAAAAATTATGCTCTCACATTCAGTGTTTCCTTTATCTTTGTCATACACCTATTGACCGTAAATAGCTCTCCTTTTCTTTTTTTGATGGTTTCTCTGTCTCTTGGGGACTTCTTATCTGAAAGACCTGGAAATAGTACAGTTTTGGTTTATATTCTCAGAGCTTTGTTCCCTTCCAGGGGGCGTTTTTCTATGTGGTGCGCTGGCAGTGAAATCAGAAAATTGCTGTATTGCCTGCAGTAAGATCCATTTCCTGTTCCCATTGAATTCACTGCCAAAACTCCCACTGTCTTCCTGGAAGCAAGAAGAGATCCTAAATTAATGGAACTCATTTTGCTGATGTTTGTCACCGACGTGTTATTGCTAAGGTGGAACCTTATTCAGTGTATGACCTAATTCCACTCTGTGGACCAGACAGTGGCACTGGCATTCTGGCAAAAAAAAAAATACATAAAGTTTATTTATGTTCTTTCTTTCACTGCTGCTTTGGATGTACTCAGTAAACTTCATCTGCCAACGGCTCCTCCCCCACTTAATGAGGGAGAAAGCTTGGTCAGCCGAATCCTTCAGCTGGGGCCTCCTGGGACCAAATTTCTTGGGTAGGAGAGACTTGAAACAAATTGATGGATGCTGACCTCCCTATTCTTCTCCTCCTTCTGCAATATGATTTTTTATGTCATTACGCCCATGATATTGTCCCTTTCTATGATTTGAAATTTTGTATACCTAACCCTTAGTGGACCATTTTTCAAACCCTTGTGGTATGTGGTTTTGTTTTGGTGGTATGTTTGTATCTTTTTCTTAAAGTACTGTGGCCTTCATTTTTGTTTTGGCATGAGATCTTCCTAGTTATGTGCTTGATGTCTGTAGCAAAGCAACCTGGATTTGGACAAAAAAAAAAAAAGAAAAAGAATCTACTGTAAATTTTTTTTTAATTGAGGGTTAAATAATCAATAAGATATATGATGGATATCACGAGTATAATAGAACCCAGGACATTTACTATGTACATGATAACCTGTGTGAGTAGTCTCATTAGAGAAGTGTATATATAAATATATTTATATTTTCTCTTATTTCTAAGAGTGTGTATGAATACATATACACATATTTAAATATAGATATATTTTATGTACACACGTGTATATACATATATATACACACACACATACATTGATACATATATTGACATCTGTTAGTAAGGAAGCAACCAGGCAAATTCTTATGTCCTGTACGTTTAAAAAAAAAAAAACCCAAAACACACAGATTATCTCCTCAGGCCGTCTTTATCTGTCTCAGAGTGTAAATCAAGAATAAATCCATTGGAATCTGTAGAATTACAGTGAAGTAAAATTGGCACAGAACATAAATTGCCCACTGATTGCAATGAAATTATCCTGATTTGCACTGGTATAAGTGAGATCAGAATTTGTCTCACTGTTGATATTTGTTACAGTAGATTCTCTTTGAAATGAAGTTGCACAGGTTAACCCAGACAGTAGTGACACCTAAAATGAGCACGTTTTTTATGAATTTGCAAAACAATTCTTAAATTTCCTCTTAAGCACTATTCTCTTATCAAATATCATTCACACTGTGGAAAGAGGTGAATGCACTTCTCATCTGTCCTTCAGCACTACCTGGATCCTTGTAAAAATCTCAGATGTGCTAGTGACCTACTAGTTTAGGATTACACCAAAGTATTCCAGAGAAATAGGTAGAATTCCAGGTCACTTTGTAGCAGACTGAATAGAGTTGCTGTTAATCCTGTTTCTTCCTTTCTCCTGTGCACGTTTAATGCGCTGTGTTGCTGTGTCAGGCCTGTGATTGTGGAGATTCCCCATTTTGCTGCTCTGCGTGGGAAGGAGAGAGAGCTGGTGATCCTGCGCAGTGAGAATGGGGACAGCTGGAAGGAGCATTTCTGTGAATACACTGAGGATGAACTGAATGAAATCCTGAATGGGATGGATGAAGGTATCCAGTGGGATATTTTTTTTCTCTCCTTCTGCATTATTTCTGTAGCATTCATTCTGTTGAACAACTCACACTTGATCGTCTCTGAGAATCTCTGTTACTACATACATACTCCAGACACTTCATTTCAGTCATACTGGAGCATAATAATTTTCTTAGTACACAAGCCAGTATAAGCAGTGTGTACTTGCGCTTACTTCCCTTGCGTGGTCTACTGAAGCATTGCGACAAAACAAAATCTACCATCATCAGGGAGAAAACAGATGCTCAACTTGTGTTTTCTCCTGCCTCCTTTCACAGTGTTACAGTTTCCATAACAAGAACCATTCCAAAACAAAACAATTACCATATTAATCCTTTCCAAGTAGCTGCGTCGTGGGAGGAAATGTCAGTCATGGATACTTTTTGCTTCTGAGACAAGAGAACGGACTTGGACTGTCTAGGATCTGCAGAAATTGTTACTAATTTTATGCCTTTTTAAAAAAATAAATAAATAAATGAGGCAACTCAACTTAAAGATGAACTCATCATACTTTGATACTTTTTTGATTTGGGGTTTAGTTTTCTTGATGCTGCTCCGGGCCACAATGTGAAGTACAAAGAGGCTTGGACCAATTCCTTTACTTGCGTGCCTCCGCATTTTGGGAAAGTTAACAACTTTGGTGTCTTAAGCTCCCTTCAGTTAGATGTTAAGTCTTTCTGTATTTCTTTCTTGATTGCTCTGCTTTAGCTGGACATAAAACACTGCGGGTTTGTTTCATTTTTCCCCTTTGAATTCTAGACAAAGTGCTTCCATAGTTGCAGTTAAACTGAGAGAAACTTGAATGCACTTTGAAGTTCACTTGGGTTGCATCCATGAAATTCTTGTTTTCTGACCATCTTCTCTTTTGCCTCAGTACTTGACACTCCAGAGGAGCTTGAGAAGAAGCGTATCTGCCGCATTATCACACGGGATTTCCCGCAGTACTTTGCGGTGGTGTCCCGGATCAAACAGGACAGCAACCTTATTGGACCTGAGGGAGGTGTGCTGAGCAGCACTGTTGTACCACAAGTGCAGGCAGTCTTCCCAGAAGGGGCCCTAACTAAGCGAATTCGTGTTGGCCTCCAGGTACAATGAAACAATTACAAGGCTCATCTTTCCTTTCAGAGAACAAAATTACCTTTTCTGTACTGGAGAATGAGAACGTTAGCTGATAATTTTGTACATTGTTATCGGGAATGTTTCTAATTAAAAAAAAAAAAAACACCCAAAGACCCTGAATGCAGTAGTTAACACAAGTGGTAGGGTTTGGGCATTTCAGTTTATTCAGATTCCTTTCTGTAACTGTCTATATGGTCTTGAGCAGAGCACTTAATTTTCATGATGATGATACTAGCATAAGTCAAACAGGAATTTCATAATTTTCATGAAAGGCATCAGAGAAGCAGGAAGTGGTGTAATCTACGTTACTTAATGTACAGTTCCTCAACGTTAAGTAACCCTGCCTAATAGTTCACTACTGCAGGGTGGGGGAAGTCCTGTTCCCCTCCCTTCTGTCTCACCCCCACCTCCATCGCTGCCTCCACTACTTACTTTGACCAGGCTGCTGTGCTTGTTGAAATCCTCCGTGAACAGCTGACAACACAGCTCAGAGGTAGTCCTGGAAGAAAAAACAACCAACCAAACAAAACAAAACAAGAGAATAGTTTTCTGCTGGTTTAGTGAGTTAAATTAACTCAATAAAGAGTCTGACAAGCACCAGGGTAGAGGGGTAGGGGGAGGATGAAGAAGTGAGAAAGAGGTGCAAAGGGGAAGTCTCTTTTCATTGGCATTATGTTCTTCTGTCAGAAGATTTTCATGGGAAATTGTGCCATTTGCTGGAAAACGGTTAGAGTTTTATGGCAGTATACAGACCCAGTTCTTTACCTGTTCATTAAACCGTTTTCAAGTGACTTATCCTGTTTCTGTCTTTTGCTTTGGAAAGGCCCAACCTATGCATACTGAACTTATAAAGAAGATTTTAGGCAACAAGGCTACCTTCAGTCCTATAGTCACGCTGGAGCCCAGGAGAAGGAAATTCCATAAACCAATCACAATGACAATTCCCATCCCCAAAGCCTCCAGTGATGGGATCATGAATGGTTACGGAGGTGACACACCCACTTTAAGGTTACTGTGCAGCATAACAGGTAAGATGCATATACTGAAGATTTTTTTGTGCATCTTGAAATTATAAAACGCTGTGGGTTAAATGTGTTAAACTTACTATTCATATGTAAAGCTTGGTGAAAACTTGACTGAGGGTGAGGGTGCAAAAATAAATTACTTCCCAATCAATCAGTTTATAGCAGAAATAACATTTGCTGTTTGGGCTAACCAGACGTGTATTGCAGCCCTTTGCTTGCCTTTTTTTTTTTT